TATTGATTCACCTATACATTCATCCAAGAAAGAAAGAAAATCTCATGATAATGAGAATAATACTCGAAATCAAACTAATAATAAATTACGAAGATCATCATCTGAATCTTTACAAAGAAGTACACCTGAAATTTATCCTGAGCATAAAATAACTGATGATGAGTGAGTATCTATCGTTCTTTCTTTGGACACAATAAATAATAATAAAAAAAAACACATCAAACAAAATTGCACGTGCAAATTATTTATATGTGTGTATGTGTGTTTTAATTGATTATTTACTAGTTTACCTTTTTGAGTGTGTTAATATATTTCTCACTTATTCAATTTATTCTTATCAACACAAGAAAATAATTTTATTTGAATTGAAATTTGAAATTAAAATTTAATTTATAATTCAAAGGATTGAATTAGAACGACGTGAAGCTGAAGCTAGACGACGTCGACAATTAGAAGATGATGAACAAAAACGAAAAGCAAAAGAATTAGAAGAACAACGACGAAGAGAATTAGCTAAACGACAACGAGAAGATCGTAAGTATTTATAAATTTTATAAATTCTTATTTAATTAATATTCTTGTTTAATATGATTACTTTTTATCGTTAAAATATTTATTAATAATATATACATCAATTCCATTTTTAGAAACCTAACGGAAAAGAAACTACTTAATATCAATCTTCAGTTGAGTAGTTAATTGATAAACTATTGAAAATACATTTTTATTTAAAAGTATTTTCAATTGAAGACAACCAAGAATTGACTATATTATGAGTTTTTTTTTTTTGAAATTTACTATTTACAATTTGAATATTCCTCGTGAAGAATTTGTGAACTGTTTTAACTAAAATGAATTGTCATGTTTTAGTTCGTACATTCATTTGATTATGTTTTCTCTTCATTGTATTACTTAAAAAAACAAGTCTGTCTATGTATGGCCTTTGTTATTTTTTTGAAAGTTTGAAGGACTTCAGTTTGACTGTAAATATAAAAAAACAGAATTTTTTTTTTATATTTGTTGGTCAAGTTCATTAAGTATTTTGTAATATGAAATATAAGATAAACAATATTTGTAATTGATGTTATCAATAGTAGACAATAGATAAAAATTTTTACATACTATTCAAAAACAATTTAAAAATCTCAACTGATCTATTAAGAAAGAAAAAAAAACGTCGCCTTTGAATTCATATTTGAATACAAGTTCTTATAGGCGATTCAATTACTTTTAATTGAATTTATCGACTTTTAAGGGGACCCCCCCCCCTTTCCGGCGTTTTTAAGAAACGGCCGAACGAAAATTTCTGAAACTTGCAGGGTAGATAGACCTCGAGTAGTAGAGCAAAAGTTGTCATAGACACAAATTTGCCAGACGTCATCTTCATGGACTTCCAGAGACCCCAAGGTCAAAAACTTGCAAAAAGTTTTCCCCCCC